CAGCTCATAAACAAAACTTTCACATGCTTTAAAAAAAAACAAGCAAAAAATAAGAGATAAGGGTTTGACATGTGCATGAAAAGGGGATATTCTTTTGCAACTCTTTGCAGGATGCTCCTGTATAATTTTGCTCTTTTGAAATTTGATCCTTAATCTTAAAAGAAATATTCAGAATAGGTCAAAATTTGAATTGTCAGGTGAGGCATGAAAGAAAAACAATAATCGCTGTCAGTAAAAAACCTGGATTTGAGGAATAAAACAGAATAATACAACAATGCAGTTAAGATTATTTCTACAACTAAATATGTCTGGAAATTGAGACTAAACGATTGTTGAAAGAGCATAAAATGTTGGAGAGTTTTTTCTTCCCTTCTGTATCTGCTGAATTATGAGTAAAAAAAAAAATTCCCATTCAGTGCCTGATTGAATATTCTGTCTGAGTAAGAGAAGGGTCAATGTGTTATTTCTGACCATTATTAAACATACATTGTGCTGACAACATGGCAACTAGCTGACTGATGATAGACCCCAGGTTGTGGGATACATAAACGGACATATATTTCCCAAAAGAGCTGTCAGGGGGCACATACAACTGCATGTGCTAACAGATGACAATACAAATACAGTCTCGCTTTAACAGAGATCATATTTTAGGGTATAGATCATAATAAATCAGCTGCCCTATGTATAACATTCATTCTATATTTATAAAAAAAAACAAGCATTTTGTCCCTCAAACCAGAGGGGCCTTGAGATTTCATGACAAAGGTCCTTTAAGTATAAAATGCTCCGTGGACCTGGCCAGTAAATAACCTGAGCGTTAGCTGATAGCAGGGAATTAGAGCCAGAGCAGGAGTGCGTAATGGGGATGGATAGTAGGCTTAGGCTTGGGTCACAGCCGCTTAGGAATCAATGCAGAGGTACAGGTGAACCACAGGTCTGTGCAGCAGAGAAAAACCTTTGGGAAGAACAGGGAGAGTGCATGGGGGGGGGGGGTCAAACTACCATCATTCATTTCCATTATCACAATTAAAAATCACCACTCAGGTTGGTACAGGTTTTTAATTTGCAACAGAAAGCACGAAAGAGAAAGACTAATGTTGCAAACACCAAGCTGGATTAGCTCCTCGCCTCCCAGCTCCTGGCGCTCCGCAGCTTCCAGGCTCATCACCAAGACACAAACCCATGATATTTCACGCATAGATAAATTTATCCATGCGCTTTTCATGTTCATGTGCATTAAGAGTAAAATTAAGGGGTTCAAATGTAAATTTTCTAATTAAATAATATCCTACCATTACTAATAATAAAAATGTCACACTTGCTGTGGAACACGTGCGCAGTGGGAAGAGTGGAAATAGCCTTGACATGTGCTTTAAAACACTATTGATGCTATTAAAATGCTAAGTGGGTCCAAGCAATTGGCATAACCACATTTCACTTTAGCAACGTCAAAGGACGACGCAAGACGAAGCAATTACTACTAGAATACTGTTAATTACAGCTTCTGCATTTTTAATAAGGGGCAGAGTAAAACAAAGGTTATGTTAATATGAGTTTATTAAGAATTCATACTTTATGAGAATGTCTGTGGGGTGTAGCTACCTGAGAGAGTCCAGAGTAAATTTAGCTTTTTTTCTCTCCAACATAAACATTTATTTTTAGCAAGCACTCCTCAGCAATTGTTAAATTTGGGTTATAGGCCTAACTGTTAGGATTTTAATCATGACAAAATAATAAAAAAGAAACACATGTGAAGGAATTTCTCATGATGATGGTTTAAGAGCTGAAAGGCAGCATTCAAAGTCCTCCTGTGCCCTCTAGGGGTGAAACTGTGAACATTCAGTCTTCTTGTTTCATTGAAAGTCCACTAATAACCCTTTCCTCTTTAAAGAGAAGCTTCACACCTTTATGGTTCCTCTTCATATTTCTTAGTTAAGGGTTATATGATTTTTCATACATTTATTGTAAAATAAACTGGTATTTAATTCTTTACTGAATAAAGGAAAATAAGGTTTAATATTTGGAGAATAATTTTTTGATCTCCTCATATACTCTGTTCTTTAAGTTAGTTTCATGAAGAAAATCTTGCTTGTTCCTTAATCATGCAGAAACTATTCCTCTATTTCTCCTTTCCCTTTTTGCTATTATGTTATATATCTATGCAAGAATATATGTGAAAAAAAGAAAAATAATTTAAAAACAGATCTTCTTTCTCATCTTGAAAGAAATTGTTGAAGAATTGCAAAGAAAATTAAGATCCAAGTATAGATGAAGAGCCTTTAAGCACTGTATTTTTTTATTTATTTTTTTTGATGAATAATCCCCAAAAACAAATTAAAATACATATTTACTTGCCAAGTTCGCAATAATAATATTAATAATATTTTAACTTTTATTGTTATTAAAAAAATTCAAAATACAATTTTTTCTTTTTAGCTAAAACATAGCCTGATTTAAAAGGATAAAATTTTACAAAATATTATATAACAATTCGCATATTGATATCAGAACCACAAACTGAAGACTGATGATCCTGATAAAAGACCTAAAAACTTCTAAAGTCACCTTTCACTTCCGGAAAAACAAAGACCTACAGTAAACAGCTAAACAATAATGACTGAAAAATAAACAGATTTGCTGAATAGTTTAGACTATCCAGCTTAAATAGCATTTTTTTTTATTTGCAAAGTTAGAATAACAAAGAAAATTATGTTTATTTAATATCATAGTCTACATCAACTTTAGCCAGCTCTTACATAACTAAACTGTAAGAAAATTAAACAGGCCAGTCTCAATAAGTATATATACTATTATTTATAATTGTATTTATTGTCTCTAAACTACAGAAAAACATGTTTTTGATAAACATATCAGAATTTTAAGTCTTGCTACAGTTTATTAAAGGAATACATCCAACATATATTCTGACACTCGCATCATTTTAAATCAAGCAGCACTGATGCTAAAAACTCAGGATTTTACACTTCTGCTACTGCATGATGCCTTGATTTTGACAAAAAAAGAAATTTTTTATATGTGCGTATATTTAGATCAAAGGGAAAAAAACAGAAAAATAAGAAAATAAAAGCAAAAAGGTTATTGTTATTGTTAAAGTTAGAGTTACTGGCTTCATTATAGAAATCTTAAGAGCTTAGTAAAAAGGAAGATGTCATCTCAAATGCCATACCAAGCAAAAAGACCATTTACAGCGTAAAAGTCTATGCTAAGGTGAGTCCTGTGTACGTTACTGATGTCCACATAAGATTTTTGACCACACCAATGCTTAAAGAGATATTATGTTATTAAGTTTTTACTAAATATCTTTAAATTATACTTTTATTTTACCCCTTTTGACTAAAACTTTGTTTGATTAGCAGACTGACGCCTCATGCATCTATAAGCCTGTAGCCTATTTTCTTTGAATTTACTTTTGGTCGGTAGTTCCGGTGCTGTTTGGTGGATGTGATGCAAGCGCATCCATGTAAAATAGGTCCAACCTAACAAACAATCGAAACATTATATATGCAAAAGCGTGAGCGAGAACAAGCATCAGAGCCCTGCAGTTCCAGGTTTTGGCCACAGGTGGCAGTATCACTATAAATCTCTGCAATGCCTCTTTAACGGCATAAACTTGATCATTTTCAGCCTCTGTAATAATGTTTTACATAATTATGTGATGTTCTCTTACAACCCTCATAGGGCTTTACAAAACAGCTGGATTTAAGCTGGCTTTATATTACACACTGCTTGGATTATGATTACTGTAAGTGTATCTTCTAGTTCAGGGTTTTAAGGTAAAGTGGACTGAATTCAAAAGCAGGCGACACTTTTTATATGTTTATTTGTAAAAGAAAAAAATTTCAGTTTCCCTTCTTTACAATTTGGGATTGCCTTATGTTGGTGTGAGATTAAAATCCACAAACACCAATGTTTGTGGATGTACTATGGCAGAAACATTGAAATATTTTAAGAGTCTGAGTACCTGATTCTCAGGAGTAGGCAGTGTAGAGGTACACAAGGTCAAAAAACCACAGTAAATCAAAAATTTTTTTTATTATTATTCTTTTACAGAATATTTTTCGATCCTCTACAGCTAAAATACCTTCATCCGTCTATGACTTTAGTGGGAGTGAAAATGGCTGATGCTTCTCCCAGATGGCCTTTTTTTTTACTTACATCTAAACCAGAAATACAAAATTGGTTGCTGAATGAGTAAATATAAAATGGCCTATATGTCAAATCAATCAACCAAAATTGTTGAAATAAATGTTTGTTAAAACAAGTCTAAATCCCTATATTGATCATCTATTTTCCATAAAATCAAGACTAAGCAAAGATTTCAATAAAACAGGAGCAGCGAGTCGATAAAGTCTTTGTTCAGTGAAGGCCCCTGAGCAGCTTTGAATCTATATATTATATTTCTGCCCTCCAGCATCACATATTAGACACACAGAACAATTATACTGCTGTGATTTTCCTCTGGACAACAAATTTGAATATAAAGACAATTAACGATTTTATGTTTATTTGATCTCCCTCATGCGGTCATTATCCAGCTCAAAAGAAGCTGAGAGTGGGAACAAATGGCCGGAGCTTGTGCTAATCTAAACTAAAGCAAAAAGGAAATACATTTGTTTCCAGGCCATTATATGGTGAGCCGTGCATTTGCTAGATACAAATGGACACCATTCATTACAGTTAACAATGACATCCAATTCAGCCCTGCTAATGAACTTCAATGCAGTCATGTTTGGTATTAAGGAGTGATTTGTTGAGTCTAAGTGTATCATTTCGGAGGCTAATGTTGATGGATGTCTGCTTGTGGAAGAGGGGATCATGCAGGGGAGGAAAGTCACTGTTGGAGGGCATCCTCCTACTGAGATGCAATGTCGCCACCTGGTGGTAATACTGGGGTAACACGCTTCTCTAGGCTATAACAAAACTCCCTGCATAAAAGAAAAACCATTAATAATGGTAAAAGAGATACTGGAACCTACCGATACCAGAGTTGCCCCCAGTGATGAGGACGACTTTGTCAGACAGGTCACGACCCTGCAGAATTTCCAGGGCAGCAGTGTTTCCATCATACCTCTTTGGCTTCACCACAACATCCTCAACTGTAAAGGCCTGGCGTGGGTCAAAATACGTGGTGCGCTTGTTAATGTGACTAAAAAGACAAAAAAAAAGAACATTTATTTCATACATTTGATTTATTGAAACGACATAAAACTCTTTAAAAACATATTTGACTGCTCGATTTATTTGTCCTTTCACACTCACAAACCTAAATATTCCGGTATTAGGGGTATTGTTAAAAAAAACAACACATTGGTTGCAAATCCCTACTAAAGGGACAAATTGGTAAAAGTCTGTATGGTTTGCATCAAAGATCTGTGGGGTCTGCAGAGATGTTGGCTTCCATTTACCTGACCCTAGATTCCTTAATTCATTATTAATTGTATTTTCGATTTGTCCTCTTTTGTGGATGAGCCAAACCATACATACAGTCATGGATGTCTATTTTACCTGAACCAACATCTTATAAATTAGAAACAAAATCCTAAAGGATAATCTAAAAAGTAATAATAAAGTTACTCCAATTGAAAAAAAAAGTGAAAAACATGTAAATGGTATTTAGTGATCACCAAGTAATCAGCGAGACCTAGCAGTAGCAGCATTAACTGTAATCATGCAACAGTTGTTGTGTAGCACTGAATATTTACAGATGACACCTTTTCCAAAAAAGATACAGGGGTTGTTAGACTTATAAGCCCAACCTGTTAGCAGGGATATTACGTTAGCAGCTTGCCTAGCCACATGCTAAAGATCTTGTTTGTTAAGTAACATTTGGTTTTTTTTTGCTTTGCTACAGTTAGTTTGCACAAAAAATACGAAGCCATCATGGAAGTTAGACTAAAATAAACAGTTATTTCATCGCCGTCATAAAACATAAGCAGTGGTCTTGTAGTAACCAGTCACATAGTAAACAGTGTTCCAGGATCACCAGTGCAGTGCTGTAAATACAGCCTGTCCATGAAGAATTTCTGCACCCTCCCCTGCTGGTTGGCTGGTGGCGGTGTTACCCGCAGCACCAGTCGTGACACCCGTAAATCTCATTTCCTCATCCTGCCTACAGTTTCTTTAACATCATAACTTTTTCTTTAGAGTTTGTCAGTTAATGACTTTATCTGTGATAATCCAAATGATTTATGTTGTCTTACAGGAACCCGGCTGCAACAAGAGGATTATGTTAGCATAAATAAGGCAACACCATCTAGCTATTTAAATTTCAACATATGCCCAAAAATTCTGGGCAAGGAGACACGGCAAAAATCTTTTAGTCTGAAAGATTTCCCTGATTATTCTTAAGCCAGTCAAGAGTTACAATTATTTTGAACATTTAACCCTTAGTTTACCCATCCAAATTGTAAAGCAACAAAACCACTTCCATTTGTATCTTCCACATGAGCCTTGTTCTTATTTTTTTAGATCAGCTTTCAAAGTTCCTATCTGATTTAGAGCAAATTACTGACAAGGTCACCATAGATTGGGATTAAAAGCCCATTCATGCTGACATTGAAGGGTGATATCTTAGACTAAAGAGGTTTTGTTCAAAATGTGAAGAGTCCAACACATTCTCATCTTCATACTTTGGACCTTGGGCTGACATATGCCATTGATTGTATTGATAAAACAGTACTTCCTCCCAAACCTATCCTATCTGTCCTCTTTTTTGTAACTTGAACTTAATTTAATGGACATTTCCTCTGCCAAAACAAGGTTCCACTTTAGCAGATCATTGTCAGATCTTGTTGATTGGGTTCTTCTCCTCTGAACAGCGCTTTAGACAATGTAGCCCCTTTGAAAAAGAAGGACTTGATCAATACATGTCTCGCTCCTTGGTTTAATACAGAGCTGCATACTTTGGGGAATAATGCTAGGAGAAAATAGCATTCTACATACCTACAGGAATCCTACCTTATCTGGAAAACAGTCTAATGCTGATCCTTTGTAAAACAAGAGAAGCATATTCTCTTAATGTATGGAGGAGAATAATAGTAATCCTAGATTCCTTTTAAGTGAAGTTGCCAAACTCACACAGAGCCGAAGCTCTGTTATGCAGTCCATTCCCCTTGCTCTTAGCAGTGGTGATTTAAGGGATTTTAGNAATACAGCCTGTCCATGAAGAATTTCTGCACCCTCCCCTGCTGGTTGGCTGGTGGCGGTGTTACCCGCAGCACCAGTCGTGACACCCGTAAATCTCATTTCCTCATCCTGCCTACAGTTTCTTTAACATCATAACTTTTTCTTTAGAGTTTGTCAGTTAATGACTTTATCTGTGATAATCCAAATGATTTATGTTGTCTTACAGGAACCCGGCTGCAACAAGAGGATTATGTTAGCATAAATAAGGCAACACCATCTAGCTATTTAAATTTCAACATATGCCCAAAAATTCTGGGCAAGGAGACACGGCAAAAATCTTTTAGTCTGAAAGATTTCCCTGATTATTCTTAAGCCAGTCAAGAGTTACAATTATTTTGAACATTTAACCCTTAGTTTACCCATCAGAATTGTAAAGCAACAATACCACTTCCGAATGGATCTTCCACATGAACCTTGTTCTTATTTTGATCAGTTTTCAAAGTTCCTATCTGATTTAGAGCAAATTACTGACAAGGTCACCATAGATGGGGATTAAAAGCCCATTTATGCTGACATTGAAAGGTGACATTGAAAGGTGATAGCTTAAATGCAGCCTTTAATGCTACCTTAGACTTAAGAGGTTTTGTTCAAAATGTGAAGAGTCCAACACATTCTCGTCTTCATACTTTGGACCTTGGGCTGACATATGCCATTGATTGCATCGATACAACAGTACTTCCTCCCAAACCTATCCTATCTGACTTATTTTTTGTAACTTGAACTTCATTTGATGGAGATTTCGTCAGCCAAAAAGAGGTTCCACTTTAGCAGATCATTGTCAGATCTTGTTGATTGGGTTACTTCTCCTCTGAACAGCGCTTTAGACAATGTAGCCCCTTTGAAAAAGAAGGACTTGATTAATACATGTCTCGCTCCTTGGTTTAATACAGAGCTGCATACTTTGGGGAATACTGCTAGGAAACTGTAGAGAAAATAGCATTCTACATACCTACAGGAATCCTTCCTTATCTGTAAAACAGTCTAATGCTGATCCTTTGTAAAACAAGAGAAGCATATTCTCTTCATGTATGGAGGAGAATAATAGTAATCCTAGATTCCTTTTAAGTGAAGTTGCCAAACTCACACAGAGCCAAAGCTCTGTTATGCAGTCCATTCCCCTTGCTCTTAGCAGTAGTGATTTAAGGGATTTTAGTCCTACAGGAGCTTCACTGGCTTCCTATCAGCTTTAAAATCTAGTTCAAAATCCTCCTGTTTGTTTTCAAGGTCATCCATAATCTTGCTCCCACATACCTCTCAAATCTCCTTCAGATTGCTATCCCCTCTCATACCCTTGGATCTTCCCCTTCCATCCACCTTATTGAGCTTCCTGCATGCCTCATCACCATGGGAGGTAGAGCTGTCTCCCCCTCTGCTCCCAAACTCTGGAATTCACTCCCAACTGATATTCATATTATCAACACTTTACCTCTGTTTAAATCAAGACTAAAAACGTATCTGTTGAAGACTGCATACTTCCACTGACTGCTTCCACTGTTTTAAATATAGTGTATATTGTGAGATATTGTATATTTTGATTGTGTCCTTAGGTGTGCTGAAAGGTGCTTTAAAAATGTATTATTATTATTATTAATATTATTATTATTAATATCAATCTATTATTCTTTTTTATTATCTTGCAATCTTGAAAAGCCTTGTAGCTTTACTGGCAACTAAAATAGAATCTGTAAAGTATTGACTAATATAAACTAAATATAAATGCCACTAGAGCATTTTCATTTGTAAAAGAGTGTTTTTCTTTTCTCTTTACAATTAAGTACAACTTTTCATTGGTCTATAACATAAAATTCCAATTAAATACATTAAAGTGTATAAACCTAGATTTAAAGCAAACAAAATAAAATTTAACCATCTTTTTTACTTACTCAACAAAAATGGTCTGGCCTTTTTCGTCAGTCTCCTGTTCCCAGCCGTATGGTAAATCTACAAAATAGAATCAATGTTTTTAGTTAAAGGATAGTAAATATGCCAATGTTTGTATTCCTGCTACACCATCGTAGGTATAATAGGGATACATACAAAGTAGGTGTCCTTACAGCACAAGCAAATAAGACTTAAACATAATAAGAGCAAAAGTGAACCTACAAGCTGCTTTATTTGTTCAGAAAAATATGCTGGAAAAAAATTCAAATTACTCCTTAATTATATGTGCTAAATCAATGATTCCTTCGGTTGCGTGGTTCCTAAGGAATGGGTTGTGACCCCACTGTGGATCACAAATCAACAGGTGAGGGGTCATCAGATGGTCTGCAGAAGTCAGAGTAAATAATAATAATGAGGGTAATAGCTAACAGCAGAAACATGTTAAAAAGAGTAATAATACTTTTCTAAGCATAAAAGCGATATGTTGGTAAATTATGTATTTGTTTTGTTGACATTAGCTTTTATTTGGTTCAGAAGGTGACAAAGGTGGGGGAAAAAAGCAAGAACACACTGAAAAAAAATCAGGTTACATAAAAAATGTAGCAATTAGAAGACATCACGGTGGTTGAATCCATGAAGACAACTCACAATCTGTATATCCAACTGTAGGTTAGAGGTCTACTTAAGGTGGACCAATTTGATGGAAATGTAATGAGTCCAATAGAAGTGTGAAGTGGGGTGGGTTCATGCTTGAATTTATGGGGGCAGGGAGGTTCATAGATTTGGGCTGGGATTCAATTGGGGAGTCACAACTATTTAATCACAGGGCAGTTCTACTTGGCCGGCTTGTTCAGGTGGTGTTGGCCCTGCCTCTGGATGGATGGAATCAGGTGACTGAAGTGTGCACAGGGTAGAACAGGGTTGCAACCAATGTGTTTGGGTGATTCAAGTAGAAGATAATTCCACAAACCTCCAGCACAGCGTTTTTTCTTTCCCGTCTTGGGATGTTCCCATTGTGTTTTCATTTCTTCATGGCTGTGGGCACAGAGAGATCAATAAGGACTACATAACCCATCATGCATCCTGTCTTTCCAATGGTTATTGCACTCATATATCATTTGATGCTTTAAAGGATAAAACAAGGGTAAAACCATTTATTTTATCTGCCTTCAAATTGTTTTCAAAACAGAGAAGATAATAACGTTAATTAAAAACTAGCTAAAAGGTACACAAAATACCAACAAAATTAGAACTTTGAGAGAAAACAATCTATTTAATATGAAGGAAAAAAAGACCTGATTTTTCAATGTACCCATAAGGTGTGCCCAGTGCTACTGACTGGCTTTTCTGTGATTTTTACAGTGAATGTTTAATTATTAATCTCAATCTTTCTATAAAATCTCAATAAAATATTCAAGAAGTCAAATCATTAATAAATTTTAATAAATGCATTGTCTAATATTTGTAAGAAGCCTTATTTACCAACTTATTGGCACAGGTTGACATGATGTTAGAATAAAAGTGGGATACCACTGACTATTTATCTTTAACTAATGGCAACTGTGTTCCTTATAGTTATACCTGTCAGCTGCACTAATTGCTAACCCCCAACATGGGTTTTTAGTTTTGTTGCACTATATTAACACTAGATTTTACTCTTGAATACAAAAAAAACAAAATTAGTAGTTAAACATACCTATACATCTAAATCTAATTTAAGCTTTTAGACCTCTGTGTTCTGAAACTAGAATAACTGCATTCATGGTATTATTCTACCTTTCTGACACCCTGATTAGACTATAAATTTTTTAAGAGGACCCCACAGATTATGTAAGAAATGTAAAGCTTGTTAAAAAAAATGCCTCGTCACAAATTTCTCTTGTTTTTGCTTTTTATAGCAGATACATGTTTTATATGAACTCGTAAAGCCTTTTAAGACCAGACAAGAATAACCTGACTATCCAAAATGCAGCTTTCAAATGATCTCATTTATTAAGTGAAAAAAATGGTCTTAACACATCTACAGACTTTAAATAAGCCATCATAAACTATATGGTTCGTTTTTTAATATGATGTAATCAGAGGCTGTGCTGTTTATTCTATACATCATCATCTAGTAAATAGTAAGTTGCAAAGGAAGCATTTAGAAAACATTCGCTGAATAATTGCATGAGATTAAGTCTGTTCTACAACCCGAAGACCTGCAGCAGCTTTTAGAAGAAAATTGTTCATTTTACAGAGAAATACATGTCATAGTCCTGCACCAACAGTCTGTTTGACAGACAGCGTAAATCCATCGTTTTCCCACACACTTTGCATAGTAAACCCAGCCGTCTTTGGTAGATCTCTCTTCCCAACCAGGCGGTAACTCGTCCTCGCTGTCAGTATCGTCCATGCCAGCGTATTTCAGAGCGGCCATTGTTTCAGCTCTCCACGAAAACGGTGCTGTTACACGCACACTAACTAACACAACGATATCAGCTCTGGGAGATTAAAAAACGCTGTCAGGAAAAATGTTCAGCGGGCACTTCCGCAATAACACAGTGACGACACCACAAAGGCATTATGGGATATTGAGGAAATTACCCTTGCTCGCTTGCGTTAGTATTAATTGCACGACGGTATGTGCATAAAGTCAATGCGCCCTCGTTGCAGCAGCAGGGCCCAGCTGTCTCTCCATTGCTGAAGGACAATATATTTGATTGCGTTTAGTATAGTTAATAATAATAATAAAAATAAGACACTCTCCTAAACCTTTTTGACAGCCTTCCCAGAAGAATTGGAGATGTTCAAGCAGCAAAGGGGTGACCAATGCCATATTTAACACCTGTGGATTAGGAATAGGCTTGTCATAATACTAAATTTCAGAACTTTACATCATTGCCCAGGGAAACATTTGATACTCAACGGCATTTGCGATACCATATAGATGTAAAAATTACAAATAAAGGCAAAGTAAATATTTTACTTTATCATGGAGCATGCATTCTCAACACAATTATTGATGTTCGTCAAATAACTGTGTAAATAAATAACCCCTATGGAAATAAAATGTAAAAATATTTTTAAGGTTGGCTGCTTTAATGTGAAAATAATCCACAAATTGAAAAATAACAATAGTTAAAAAAAAAATTAAAAAAAAGCTCTTGCTTTGATATTGATACCATGACAAGTCAGTATTGTATTTGGATATAGCGGTTGATTATCAATACTTTTCAGAATATCGATATTTTAGTAACCCTAAATAGGAATGGGGTGTCGCTAACGCTCATATGTGAGTCGAGGCAGGTGAACAAATACTTTTTGTAGTATAGTGTATCACCAAAATAATTAATTTGTAATAAGGATTATGAACAGTAAGCAACACTGGGGGAGTGCGGTCTAGTGGTTAGGGCATGGAGCTCGAGGTTCTGAGTTCGACCCCAACTCTTACAGACTGCTACGCTGGGTCTCTGAGCAAGACCCTTAACCCCTGATTGCTCCCTGGGCGCCCCACGGTGGCAGCCCACTGCTCCCCAAAGGATGGGTTAAATGCAGAAGTAAATTTCTGCAATGTGAGATCAATAAAAAAAATAAATAAAGTTCAATTATTGTTATAATTGACAAAGATAAACAAGAAAAAACTCAGTCTGGGTCTAGGTCGTCCTCGCGATAAAATAAACTGAAAAAAAAACCACATAAATTGTCGTAAATGTAACTATATAGACCGAACTTACAGTTTAAAGTTTGATCACTGCCTGTGGGTTCCTACTGGCACAGGAACTCATTTTATCTTTTGCATGAAAAACCAGCTGCATGCACCTGTTCTTTCTGCTTTACCTGTCGGTTGACCACACTATTCTCCTGCAACAGCTGACTTGTCTGAGAATTTTACAATTAAAGCTAAACAATTATTGAATTTTAAGTGATAAATGTTATTACAAAAATGATTTTTAGAAAAAAATGATAAACTTATATTCACACATGATATTTTTTATTAATATTTGATAATACATTTTAGTTGTGAATTCTAAAATGTATTATGTGTATCTAAATCTGATTTATCTGACAGATTTCAGTTTGTTCATATTAATGACCAATCTTCCTCAAGCTCCAGATTTACCTACGTATGCAGTACCACTGGGATCAGCGTTGGGGCCAATTCTCTTATATGTTCCTAATTGGTGGAATTATTAGACAGCATGGGATTGACCTTGATTAGGCTGATGATACTCAGCTATATCTGTCTATAGATGGAGATGACTCAGACAGAAAGTGACAGATATTTATTTTACCAAAAGTATCAGAGTTACATTTTCTGGCAAACATTTCTTTGATTGAAAGAAAACAAGTGCACACAGAATAAGACATGGAAATCCAGCAAGCACTGGTAAAATATCTTATCAGATGTAGCCTGTTATTCTACCTAGAGCCTGGGTCTAGGAATGGGCCATTTTCTAGATAACAATCCCCATAACAATCAAAGGACATACATTGCTTTGTTTTAAGAAAACTATAAGATTTATACCCTCTGTTTGTAGCTTAAAATGAGGTAATTCATTGCAAATCTGTTGACTGTTGATACCTTAATGTTTCCTCTGACCCCTTTAATTTTGTTTTAACATCAGGTGTTCACTGGTCTCATGAAAGAGATGGTAGACTGTATAATTTTATTTCCTGAATTTTGAAAAGATGACAGCTTTAGCACAATTGATTAACATTACCTTTTGTTGTATAAAAATAGCTTGTCCTGTCCTACATCTTACTGCTGAGTGCCTTTCATGGAACAGAAATACATCTTTTCAACTCACTAGGAAGTGACTTGGACTTCAAATAGTAAGAAACCAAAGATAGAACAAATGGGACATTATGACTGTTGTTCAATGCTAAGATAGCGTGAACTTAAAGGTCAACAACAAACAAATAATCAATAAATCATTAAGTGTATATGTCATAATACTAAATCCAAACAAAAAAAAAGATTAATATATAGTAAAAAACATCACTAACAACAAATGAACATTTATTGTTATAATAAATAAAATAAAATAATTATCTTGAATAAATAATCCAATTAGCTATTGTATTTTTAGAGTGGAATGAATCTGAAAATGTATTAACTTATAACAAATGTTGATCAATATAAATGATCAGTGTTTAATGTAGTAGTCCCTGTGTTATAGAAGTCCATTATTTAAACATGTCATCATGACATAGAGGCTAATGTCTGATTTGCTAGCTGACCTTTAAACCAATCATTTTTGCGTGGTTCATAGTCATGCCAATTAAGTTAGGTGTATAAACCCAACTGATTAAAGGGCAAATTAAATGAAATCTGCAAATATAGAAAGAACATTATTTAGTGAAGCACTTCTTGAAACATACTAGAAATTGAAGTTCAAACGAAATAATTTCTTTTTATTACTTTTTTGTCAAAACTGCAAAGTAGAGGGATTTTGAAGAAAGACACCACTAACTTGAAGACAACAGTTTGTGGTGACACTACCGAACACCAGCTGTTACACAGCCAGCTCCAAAACAATTCTGAACAACTAGGAACACCTGTACTTTCCTACTGCTTAGGGGGAGATATGGAAGAAGAAGCCTTTTTTGAAGACCCTTGGCAGTACGGAATATTTAATTTAACTTTACCCATATGAACTAGAACTGACAGCTTGATCTCAGGAGTCAATTAAAAACTCATCAGTTTCAGATTCCTATTGTGATGATTGCCATACTTTGGTAAAGTTATTTTTAAGTAGCAGCCTCAGGTAGTTTTATATTTTTATGTTATATTTCTGTTTTAGGCGGTTCATGCATTTAAGTTTATAAATTATGAAAAAAAAAATACTATTATTTTTATGTAATTCATAATTTACCTACCTTCTTTTGGGGGAGAGTAAATAAATAACATACACATTTAAAGATGTTTATTTCTACTAAAAGGACATTTAAGTAACTGTTTCATAGGATTTTTGTCTATTGGTCAATAGGTGGGTGGGCCAAAACTGATCAGTTTGTTGACTTATAGAAGAGAGCCAATTAAATGCTTGGATTTATTTGACCAGTCTTTGGGACAGTTTAAATCATTGTGTGTTAGTTTCCCCAAACTTTTTAGTTAAAAACCTATTAACAAAGGTAAAATATAAATAAAAAACAGCATATACAACTACTGGACTGGATTTGTCTATTTGTCTACTGACATTGGATAATCTTTATAGACTGAAAAACATGCTACATTTTCACCATTTTTACTGTTTAGTGCGTTGTTGATGGACTCCAACTTTGAAAATCAATGTAGCTACTAGAGCACAACAAACATAAAACAAGAAAATGCACAAATGTGATTTTATCGAATAAATGCATTTTATATACAACTTAGAATATTTTATTTACACATTTTACACATTCTTATGATTATGTAGTATGCTAAAAGTTAAATTCCCAAGACTTGCCGCCCCTATTAGAACTTCAGTGGCCTCGTTTGCGCTTGCGCCGCACTGGTGGGCGGGGCCAGGAGATGGGCCGACCAACTAGTCAAGTGTGTGTTTGTGTGTGTTCGTTGCACGAAACGTGTCTATTAACGACGGCCGCGGCACGCGCACATACATCAACGTTAGACGTAGTACATATGGTTTTCTTCATCAATTGAAAGTTTTATATTGGTTGGCTTCGATGCTATACCAAATACGGCTCGGTATTTGGCCTTTGAAGCGAAGGATTTATCCCGACTCCGTTTTCACTGAAGACTGTCCGCTTCTCCTCCCCTCCATGAAGCGCTGCGATGCCCTCTGATTTTATATCCCTCCTTAGCTCGGATATTGACCTCAATTCTCCCAAATCTCTATACTCTAAAGGTAAGCTGTGAGTAGAGAAACATTTATGTGAAGTCGTGGTTCCGTTTTGTATTTGTTTGATAGGTTAAAAAAAAAGAATGCCTGGCTCACGTTAAGCTGCTAGCTAGCTGTTGGTTAGCTTCTTTTCTGCTCTTAGCCAGACTAGCTAGCACAGTTATAACTACCTGTCTGTCTAGAGTGTCGCATGAATTGAATAAACATCATACTCTGCTGGGACCAGTTGATCCGTGACATCACATTTGCTAACATTTCAAATACTTGATGGATTAAATTAGCTAATATAGTGATACTTGGGGTCGATTTGCTGCTACTACGTTGTTTAGCGGTTTAACGTACTTAAGTCCTGCTCGGCTTTTGCACAGTGTGTGTTGGTATGTGCATTCTGCACTGAAGGATGCGTAAGTCATAAATAAACATTTATTTACCCCCCTTAATCTCTGTTTAAAATGACACGCACAGCCACTCTTTTGTTTTGGTTTGCTCAGTGGAGCCAAGCCAGAGTTATTCTTCTGCACAATATCTAGTTTCATTGAAAGCATGAAGTTGTTGGCTCCCTCCAGTGTGCCTTTAAAGGGGGCCGCTGGACCTGAAATGTAATCTGTCTCTTAATACTGTTGCACACGTGTCAGCCAACTGCTCTGTTATTATTAGGAGGGCGTAACCACATGGTGGATGACCAACACTGTTCACCTCTTTGTGTGATCAGCTTGGTACGTTCCTGAGAGTTGGCATTTAGCTTAAGGATTTTGTGTCGCTTATTTAAAACGTGGGTTGTATGAATTGTTTTCTTGTTTGTTTTACCCTGGCTGCTCATGTGTGGTAGTATTATTCAAAATGAAAATCTGTATAGGTTTTGCTTTATGGAAATCAGCATCTCTTCAAAACGAGTGAGTCTTGCTGCTCTAATAGGTAAATGTATGGTTTGCCATGCAAACCTGGCAGTTTCAAGCATATATGCCCTTTATAATAACTTAAAATAACTTATGAAATGATCAAGGTTTTTAACATGGTGGCTAAAATGATTAAACTTAGTTCTTAGTAACCGTTATCGAAACAAAT